GCATGGAAGTACATACTACAAATCGTTCAAATGATGGAAAAATTAATGAAATAAATATACACGGTGATTATCAGGTGTAGCTATGATCTCAATCAATCCATGGTGAGAAAAGCAAAGCACCAGCTCCCTCCCCCGCACTGTTTTATTTCATCTAGCTTCTTTGTTTTCTTCTTCTTGGTGAAAGGATGGGTACTCCTTGTATCATGCACTAAATTGTAACAACCTTGGATGTCGTTCAACGGATAGGGTTCACTTCGATAGAAAATGAAATACGAGCCACACCAGTATGTGTTCAGCACGCTATAGCAATTGCCTTACATCAACAAGCTCCTGATAATGACTAAACGATCGGGTTTCCGGGTTCGAGTGGAGCAAAAATGCATACCATTGTTAGCGATACCACCGGTTAGTCAGACACTGCAATGAAAAAATCTGATAATCTTGTACGCAAACCCAATAACGCATCGCTCGTATCACAAAGTGACAAATGGAACAATACTTTAGATAGATGAAAATTAGGTCTTCATAAAATAATTAGTATCTCGACAACTCGAGAAAAGTACCCCCTCCCCCNCCCCCAAGCTTTCATTTTCTGAGCATCGTCCTCACATTTCTTTCTGGAGATCAAACCTCCCAACGAAAGGAATATTAAATCAATGTTGGCTAGCGAAGTGATCAACCGAAATGGTATATCTTTTTTTCAAAATAAAAACGCGTGGAACGATTGTTTACCTGATAGGGGTGTAAATCTTCTTCAATCGGCTGGAAACCGAAACGTGGGAACTGCTCAAAGGAGACTGGCGGGGCGAACATAGTCCCCGTTTCATCGGGCGGCGCGTACGTTTGCCCAATTCGATGTCCAACATAATGACCCACGTGGTATGTGTTCGTGGGTCCGTTCACTAGCAGGACAATACGGAAAAGTAAGACATGATGTTGAGCTGACTGAACATATCCTGTTCCGAAAAATGTAACTCTAACTGTACGTTTGAAATCATACTACAAATGGATATGCCATGGGATTTTTGCATGAAGTTAAACAGAACCCATTGAATCCGGGTTACATTGAGGATATCGCTGCAACACATTGAGTTAAGAAGATTTTTAGGGAAACAGTTCGGCACTTTATGATTCAGGAATCAGAAAATTGTTCACCTCCCCGAAGTGCTCGTATCTGACAGAACAGGTTTGAATTTTCAAGATAACTAAATACGCTACTCATGAGTACATTGAAATGTTTCATAAATATTGCTGCATTGAGATAGGCGATTTTCAAACCTTAACCGCGAAGTCTTTGGATTCCACATATATTTAACTGCTCCTTAAAAACGTTGCACAGTTGTCACAAGTGTTCGAAGGATGGGAATTTTCATTGCTGTCAAATAAGCTATAGATGAAAAATTTCCAATCCTGAAGATCGAATACGGTGAAAAAGTCACCGAGTTACATGACGCACATGATTCCTTAGACTTTTGCCCGACTAAAAAATACAGCTCCCCGGGGGCACGAAATATAACTATCGGTTGATGAGCAGAATTTATCGACAAGGGTTGAGCATGTACGAAAAAATTCATAATGTATTTTTCATAGCACCTGTCGTCTGAGCTTTTTAACAAAACGTTCCCAAATAGCCAAAAAGTTAGATACGTGTCATTGACCGAAAACCAAATACCTAATCAGATCTGTGACATGCATCACACGCACCGCATGTACGGCAAACTTTTGATCGACTACTCTCTCCTTCCACCTATATTCATTCAATAAACGGAAGTAGGATAAAAGACAAAGGTAAAAACAACTGAGCAGCCATTATCCAAACTTCGAATTGCGTAGGTTCTGCGTCGGACTGGTCAAACTATTTTCAACAGGTATTTCCCTGCATTGGGACAGAACTTGATTGCTTGAGATGCTTGAGGACCCCTATTACAGAAATCTGCTGGATTGTATTCAATCTTTCAGCCTGCATCAACTGGTGTATGTAATCGATAAAATTCATGTGAATGAGAAGAAATCACTCTGGAGACAACGTCGAATAAGTTTCAGAAGTTTTTATAACCAATAACCCTGCGTCTTCGTGCCCCGGTTTTGGTTGCTGTCTTTTGGTAGACCATTTGGATAAAAGAGCAGGATGAAGATAGGAACGCTGACGAGACTGCCCTGTGATGTGGTGTAGTGGCCCGCCTTCCCCCATGACCCTGTGAGCTATACAGGATGGCCCCTCAGCCGCAGATTCAATCATGCCTGAAAGCTCAATAGGTAGAGGCCAGAGGAAGCTCAGCCTCACAAAGCCAGCTGCTTGGGCAACTACTGGCTTCTTTCTTCTATCTACACGCCTCTGGAGAGGTCACTTCAACAAATAAACACGGGGAGGGGCAATTTACAGGTCAAAAACTTCCCGCGAGATGAACGTAGGAGTGGGGTACCTGGGGTTTCCTCCTGACAGTGGGAGAAGTTTTCGCACTTCACTGGACAGCGACCACCCGCTCAAGCTGGGCAGCCCCTAGCCAATAAAGTGCTATCCCGTCCACGTTCCGCCTGTCTCATTGGGTGCATGAGGCTAAGGGCCGATCCCGAAAAACAGACCGTCAATCAACGCACCAGCGAACAACACATTGAATCAAAACCCAAAGCTCTTGCGTGACAGGTCTCCAGAAGCTCCCACACGGATGCTCCTTTCATGCTCCCGCGTGAGATTTATGCCCCACTACCTTGTGGTTCAGACTCTTAAGTCGAAGTCTCCGGTTAAGGTTCCCAAAGGAAAACCCCTTGGTTGGTGTGGGCTACCGCGAAGTACGTCGGACCCCAAAGTCTTAGGCAGCCATTAGGAAAACCCTCATTCTCGTTTGCCCAGTTTCAACCTCAAAGAAAGGATTCCTCATATGCTACTGTCATCTTCAGAAGTGAATTCAGAGGAGGAGAAATGTGAAATGCACAGAAAATTCACCTTAGAAAACATGAACTAGATAAAAACAGTTATCAATCGGTTTATGATATTGGTGATAAATCCTGATTCGTTTAGAGATTGTTTACCGTAATACAACTAAAACAATATCATTTACACTTGAGAGAAAGGTTTTGGTTTCGATATCACTGCCGCCCGAGGCACTAACACCTTATTCGCAATGCACTGGCCCCAAAATAAGTCAGATGATGTGGCCAAAGGTTTCCCCTGCCGAACAGTGGGTCCTCACGACTAGGCGTGGTATTCCCTCAAAACCATTCGCCAGAGTAAAGTTGACAACGAAGAACAAATTTCCGAAGAGTTATAATGAAAGAATTATTCCATACAGTTGGATAAAAGTAGTAGTGAATATCGACAAAAAAATGGAACGCAGACCATATTTGACATTTGATCTGTCAGCTGATCCACGGAACCAAACGAAAAGCGAAAAGCTGAATGAATTCTGAGGCAAATAACTGAAGCTGTTTACTGCCAACATACACCAAGAGTTGCGAATGCGATGTGATCACGTTTGGAAAATGATCATCCGAAACATGTATCATTGTTCCAAAGTGTACCCTCGGGACGTTTAATGTCCGCCGATGACGTGAGCATTGTTACATTCACCTCACCTAACTGGATCAATGATAGTGATCACTCTGACCCCGACATCACTGAATCAAGCATTGCGCACTGGCGTGCTGATTATTTGGCTTGGATACTTTTCTCCTTAAGCATATAGTGGTAGTTAATGCTCGAAAACGTGTTGCCAATTTCACCCCGAAGCAAGCCAGTCCGATCCATTTTAATCAGTCTTACTTATACTGCATGGTTTTGTTATATCATTAAATCATCATTTCCGATCCGTGCAGTATCGTTTGTCTGTTATCCACTGTATAGGACTGTTTTCATTACATAGGCAGTGTGCTTTAGATTAAATGAACCTGACATGCAACTTGTTTGTTCCGCATTACTAGTGGGTTAGGAGTGATCCCAAAGCAACAAAAATTGTCTCATCGACGGCCACACAGAAACACATTCACTTTATGCAGATGCATATTCCAATTGATTCGAAAGGAGAACAAACGTAATTAAGCTGAATCATAGTGAATATATCTATGGCTCACAGATAATCCTGAGTCCAGGAATAACACCGTGAGCAGATATGTTGTTTAAATGCATTTTGGGTTCATTTTATTTCAAGCTCATTACACTTTTGAAGGCGGCATTGAACAGGACAGTATTAGTAACCAGACTGAGAAAAAAAGCAACAAGGCCGATAATGATCATCTGGGACTGAAAAGCAATATGAAAAGGTTGAACAAATACGAGGAAACCTGCGGTGGTGGTCGATTGATAGAACGAATAATCTGTACAATAAAAGAATAGAAATCCAATAGTATAAAAAAGCTAGATAAATACCGGGCAGATGCATGACCGGCATTATTCACGATAGTAACTGTCTTTATTCACGTGGGGAAAAATCAACTCAACTCAAATGCCACTGATTTGGATTTTTATTTCTCTGCATCAATTCATGAATAGAACATCCCCAATTATCGGAGCAGCCACCACTTATTGGGAAAGCGGGGCATCAGAAAAACAGTCTCAGTGGTCTAAAGCTGCGAGAGACAAATCCCGATAGTCATGCATCTAACCAGAATGCTGTACATAATTGCACGAATATTCGGCGGTTTTGTTTTTCACCAAGACAATAATCGATCTTTGGATGCAGACCGGAAGGTTCACCGTGCTAGTCGGCAAGGGGACACAAAGATTTGTTTGCTCTGCTGCCAAGTTCCAACAAGAACAAACCAAACGCCCAGTGCTTTTTATCGATCATCACAAAAATCTGCCACAAATAAAATACGCAAACTTGTTCATTTCAAATTTATCTATACAACCATATATTAAATGGCAAATGTTATATATCTTCATAAATTGAACCTGTATGAATTTATCGGTCGGAGTGCTATTCATTTCTTGATCAACAGTTGACCGAGTTAGAAGAGGGGGCTATAGGGAACAAATTGCTAAATATACACAAAGAATATCAGCATATATGTGTGTGTGCGTCTGTACTCACCAGAATCGGCAAATTCACCCGAATCAACCACGTGATCCACAGGTGGCCCGTATGCAACTCCTGGATGAGTGGTTCGGCAATAACCGGTATATTGTTTTCGCTGTATTTACACATTCCGGTGTTCAAATAAAAGAAATACGAACATATGAGAAATATCGGAATAATGCTTCGCTTAGAGATGAAAATGTAACAACACAAAACGAATTTCGATATTTGATTTCGTGATGTCCATATTGACGAATGCCAGTTTTTAGCCTTCATCGAATCAATCTAAGCGATGACTTTAGCTCAACCATACAAAGTGATTCTATCACTGGTGCCGATGAACTACACACTTACGGAAATGCCTAAGAATCGACAGCATAGACAAGACAGAGAGTATCAATTTACGGGCAAAGCCGCGTATGTCCAACGTTACGGTTGTCCCCTCCTGACCAGTGTTGGCAAAACTTAACCTTAAACTGCTGAAAATATGAAGCGGTTGGAATTATTTGACCAATAGTGCCTACGTCGAATGTTTTACAATTCGTCTGAACCGACAAGCTTTACAACAGTAAGGTTAAACAAGGTAGCCTAATCATCGAAATTCTACGGAAGCTGACTCACAGGAAACAATCCCGACAATTAAGCTGGAATATCTGATGACGCTCCAGTAAATCGTGCAAGGTGAAGAGTATCTAAGTATATCATCACCGGTGTGAATATCAACTATATGCTTAAAAATCGACTTGTCATGCACTCTAAAGATCCTGTGAAATCAGATATTTATTAGCTCGTACAGTTTCGCCTACGTTCCTGTAATTAGTCACAATAACTGCCCCAGATTGTTCAAAAATATGGAACCAAATAGTGATTTTCCACTCGGTAGCATGATATGATTTAATTGTCCCAAATGGCATTGTAAACGAAGTGCATGTTTTCCTAACAGTTTAATTTCATCATTTCTAAATAGGATCGGAAAATAGATGGTCTGCAGTGTATTAATTGATGAACCTGGGGAGCATGGTGAAAGTTTTGTCTTTGTTAGGAGTTTTCTCCGTGCATACCAACACATTTATATGGCTGTTCTAATTGAGTGACTGAATGTGGAAGGAAGGCAATGGAAACAAGGCACAACCGTAGTGAGGTGCTGAGTACATTAGGGAGTAGTATGTTTTGTGCTCGGGTTAAGAAGCAGTCGGCGGACTCTCACGGTATTCAAACATGG